GTTTCTTCTGCCCTTCCTGTTTCCTCTGCTCCTTCCTGTTTCCCCTGTCACTTCCTGTTTCTCCTGCCCTTCATGTTTCCTGTCCTCCTTCCTGTTTCCCCTGTCACTTACTGTTTCTCCTGCCCTTCCTGTTTCCTCTGCTCCTTCCTGTTTCCTCTGTCCTTTTTAAATGCATGTTTCCTTTTAAACCAGTGGAGTCCACCATACGGTTCATTTTCAGGTGGACCTCTGTCCCAGACTCAGATCTCTGGAATGGTATCTCTGTATTTTGCTCTGTCCATCTTTTCCCACACTGAACAGTTTACTGGAACATCCCCACAGCATGATGCTGCCACCACCGTGCTTCACTGTAGGAATGGTGTTCTCAGCAGGATGAGAGTTGTTGTCCTTGAAGTCTCAACTGTCCATAGCACCTTTGATGTGTCCTTCCTGTCCACTCTTCCATGAAGCAGCTCTGAGCAGCTTCTAGTGGTCTTGTGGACAGATCCTCTTGCTCCATCATAGTGATATTTGTCCTCCTGGATGTCTCTCTGATTAATGTCCTCCTGTCCGACCCTTTGGTGGACAACTTGTTCTTGTCAGGTTTTCTGTGGTGACATATCTCTGTTTCCTAATAATGAAGTGATGAAGAAAATATTTAAACTCAGACTTTTGGTCTGTTGTGTCCATGTCCCTGTCCTCTGGTGTGTCTTAACATCTCAGTGTATTTCCTGGTCCTCAGACATCTTGGCTGTTTTGTCCTTTGAGGTCTCATCTCTTTGAAATGTGAGCTGTGTCCCTGGACGTCTCCTCCCTTCATTCAGTCTCCATTGATCTGAAACTAAACACACAGACGAGCTTAAAGGGGAATTCCAACTAAAACTTGATTTAAACTGCTGCAACGTCTCTGCTGACGTCCCTCTGTCTCTGTATCTGCTGATGTCCCTCTGTCTCTGCTGACGTCCCTCTGTCTCTGTAACTGTTGACGTCCCTCTGTCTCTGCTGACGTCCCTCTGTCTCTGTAACTGTTGACGTTCCTCTGTCTCTGCTGACATCCCTCTGTCTCTGCAGACATGCCTTTGTCTCTGCTAATGTCCCTCTGTCTCTGCTGATGTCCCTCTGTCTCTGAAGACATGCCTCTGTCTCTGCTAATGTCCCTCTGTCTCTTCTGACATCCCTCTGTCTCTGCAGACATGCCTTTGTCTCTGCTAATGTCCCTCTGTCTCTGCTGATGTCCCTCTGTCTCTGAAGACATGGCTCTGTCTCTGCTAATGTCCCTCTGTCTCTGCTGATGTCCTCTGTCTCTGCTAACGTCCCTCTTTCTCTGTATCTGCAGGTGTCCCTCTGTCTCTGCAGACACCCTCTGTCTCTGCTGATGTCCCTCTGTCTCTGCAGATGTCCCTCTGTCTCTGCTGATGTCCCTCTGTCTCTGCAGGCGTCCCTCTGTCTCTGCTGATGTCCCTCCATCTCTGCAGGCATCCCTTTGTCTCTGCAGGCGTCCCTCTGTCTCTGCTGATGTCCCTCTGTCTCTGCAGGCATCCCTTTGTCTCTGCAGATGTCCCTCCATCTCTGCAGATGTCCCCCTGTCTCTGCAGATGTCCCTCTGTCTCTCTCTCTGCTGAAAGTTATAAATTCTGAGCCGGCTCCAACTTTCTTGAGTTCAGAACAACAACTCCTCTTAGGTTCTGTTGGTTCTACAGAGACTGGACCCAGTTTTCAGGAGTCCTGAATGTGGACCCAGCTCCTGTGGATCTTCACGTGAAGGTCCGATTCTGATCTCAGGAAGTTTATTTTTAGCTCCTGACTGGAGCTGCAGATAAGACCTGAGAGCAGGTGATCCGGATCCGACCTGATACAGAATTGACCCGATAATCATCCTCAGTTGGAGGAACAAAGATCTGCATCAGTTTCCTGCAGCTAATCCTGCTGGTTCTGGTTCTGCTCAGAGCTTCAGTTCCAGGTGTCCAGAAGCCACACCAGCCTGAAGACCAGATCCAACTCCAGACTGAAGACCAGAACCTGCCGTCTGTATTACAGACTACTAAATCTGTGATGCCATCACAACAATTTCCTGCAGGATCAATAAAGTTCTATCTTATCGTATCTTATCTAATAATCTTTAAACTCTTGTTTTTATCCAAACCGTTGTTTTCTTTTGTGAGGTTATTGTTTGTTTGTTTACCTGCGAGGAACTGAAGCCTGTTTTGTTCTTGTAAGCCTCAGAAGTTCTAAACTTCAGGATGTTCTGCTCTCTCCTCAGACCTGCTGCCTCTCGACCTTCTGACCCAAGCCCTGCCACGCCCGGGACAAGCCCCGCCCACTCAGGTATTACACAGACAGGTAGAACACGGATGTGAAGCCCATCAGGTTGTTCTGATGATCTGTGTTGTGTCTGAACAGGTGCAGATGGTCCAGTCTAGAGGATCCAGAGGTCTCAGACTGACCGCCGCCCCCACATCAGCTCTGAGTTTTTCCACCTCTCAAATCTTCACCAATTGTGACGACTTTCCTGCTGAGTTCTCATTGGTCGCTACATTGAAGATCCAGAAACTGAGATCGAAGGTGAACCTGCAGAACCAATCAGAACCTGGTCCAGTCTGGTCCGGTACTATCTAACCTGTTTGTTTTCTCTCTTCTGTTAGACCAACGAGTACATCTTTTCTGTGGTGAAGGAGAAGTCCGATCTGCTCTTGCTTGGGTTACGCATCTCTCAGAACCAAATCCATCTCGTGACCACGCCCCCTGGTGTTGGTGGGCGGAGACGAATCAGTTTTAAAGATGTTGGATTGGACAATAATCGCTGGCACACCATGGTGCTGGCTGTCGCTGGACAGTACGCTACGCTGACCGTCAACTGTGGACTGCCTCTGGAACTGTGAGTCCTGGACCGGATCAGACTGGTTCAAACCAGATCAGACTGGCTGAGACTGGTTTGGTTGTTTAAACTGGTTTATACCAGTTCAAACACTTTAAAAAAAAAAAAAAAAGGTTAAAACTGATCAAACCTGTTTACAATGGTTTAAACCAATTTTCAGACAGGTTTGGTTTATACTGGTTTTGGCTGGTTCAAACCAGATAATTCTGATTTTTTTTTTTTTTTATTGACTGGATCAAACCAGTTGTAAACCAGATTAGGCAGGTTGAAACTGGTTTGATTTAGACTGGTTTATTAAGTCAAGTCAAATTTATTGATGAATCACATTTAAAAAAAGCAGCTGTTACCAAAGTGCTTAACAATAAAATGAAGGTATCAGAATAAACTTTATTATCATTGTACTGGGATACAGTGAAATTATGTTCGTACAGTCAGATGGGCGGAGTGCACGTTGCTGCTGCTATCATAGCGCGGCCACTTATTCTTTAACAGATATAAAAACAGTAAGAACCATAAGGATAGATAGTGGTGTTACAAAAAGATCTCTTCACACCTTAGTAATAAGATGTATTTTAGTAGTTGTTAATTAGTAATAAGTAGTAGTAATTAAAGAAAGAATAGTAACAGCATGTAATTAAAGCTTCACAAAAACAATGAAACACTAAATTAAATCACACTGTGTTAAACGCCAGTGAAAACAGGCATGTTTTTAGGAGCAATTTAAAAGCAGGGAGTGAAGCGGCCTGTCGAATGTTGGGGGCATAGATTGTTCCAAAGTTTAGGGCCCAGGAGCTGATTAACCCTGATCTCATCTGAGCTCCAGCCTGGTTTTTGGTACAACCAAAAGCAGCTGGTCAGATGATCTCAGCGCCCGAGAAGGAGCATACGGTTGAAGTAGGTCAGAGAGTTTTGAGGGTACAAAGCTATTTATGCACTTAAAGGTCAGCAGGAGAATTTTAAAATCAATTCTTATATGTACTGGGAGCCAGTGAAGGGAGGACAAAACTGGTGAAATATGATCAAACCAGCACGTTCCTGTTAAGAGCTGAGCTGCAGGATTTTGGACAAGCTGGAGATGTGAAATGGAAACCTGACTGACCTCAATATAGACTACGTTACAGCAATCAAGTCTGGCTCCAATGAATGCATGGACTATATTTTGAAGGTCAGATCTGGTCAGCACAGACGTAAGTTTAGCTATCTGCCTTAACTGGAAGAAGTTTTTCTGCAGAACAGATTTAATTAGTTTATTACACTTAAAGTCAGAGTCTAAAACCATCCCATGATTTGTAACAGACTGCTTAAGATATGGCTCAAGAGAGTCAAGGTTAACAGGAACAGAGGCAGCGGTAGAGGTAGTGCTATACACAATGACTTCAGTTTTCTGACCGTTAAAACTTTTAAAAAAATTGAAGCCATCTATGCCTTGATGTTATCAAGACATTTTAACAGAGGGTAAATGGAGCAAGAGCTATTTGGTTTTAAGGGCAGATAAATCTGATAATCATCAGCATAGCAGTGAAAAGAAAGACCATGTTTCCTAAGGATAGACCCCAAGGGGAGCAGATACAATGAAAAGAGAAGGTGTCCAAGAATCTAGCCCTGCGGGATCCCGCAGAAAAGAGGCACTGAAGCAGACTATTACCAGAATTAACACAAAAACTCCTGTCACTCTGATAAGAACGGAACCATTCCAATGCTGCACCCATAATCCCAACCCAGTTTTCTATCATTGATGTAAGGATACTGTGGTCAGCAGTATCAAAAGCATTAGGAGTACAAACATTTGCTAAAATAATGTTGTTACAATCCCTTATTAAGGCCGTTTCTGTGCTGTGTAACTGTTTAAAACTAGAGTGAAAAATCTCAAAAATTCAATTTTCATTCAAAAACTCATTTAATTGAATAAAAACTATTTTCTCCAAGATTTTTGAAAGAAAGAGAAGTTTTGAGATTGGCCTGAAGTTTGAAAAACCTGAAGGGTCAAGTCCAGTTTTTTTAATTAATGCGTTTACTACTGCATGTTTAAAAACATCAAGGACTACACATACCAGAGGGTGTTAGGATGCTCTATTCACACAAGCTGCTGGTCAGGCTACTTCCTGTTGCTCTCTAAAATAGTGATTGAATCACGTGTATGTAGGTAAACGTAAGTGTTTAACAACCCGTTAAAATACACCAGAACGCAGGAAATGGCATCTACTTTATTCAAAATTTTATGGGGGAGGATTCCCCCCACCACCAAAAAAAATAACAACACACACTATCTGTTTGGACCGGCACTTGATGGTTCTGAATCTGCCTGTGCTGTTAACTTTTTTCCTGTCTCCCAGTAAACAGGTCTGGTCCTTCCCCAGCACTTTGAGCACCAGAGGGTCCAGGTTCTTCATCGGCAGCAGGGGCCGGTGGAGGGGCCGCTTCTCTGTGAGTTTTTGATCAGAACCAGAATCAGAACCATCCAGTTCTGCTGTGGGTTCACGCTGGTTTCTCTGTGTTCAGGGTCTGCTACGACAGCTGGTTCTGCTGCCGGGCTCAGACGCCACATCCAGACTGTGTCCCAACTCTGAACCTGGTCTGGCAGAGCTGTCTGTTCCATGGGTTCTGAAGTCCACCCCGCTTCAACCGGACCTCCAGAAACCAATCTACCCATACGGTGAGGGGACAAACCAGTTCAACCAGAACCTGTAGCTGAACAAGAAACTGAAGATGAACCAGAACCTTTAGCTGAACCCTGTTTCTGCTTTACATTTTAAACTCATTCCAGTTTTATTTTGAAATATTCTCTTTCACAATAAAACGTGATTTTAAGGTGATTAGCTGAGTCCAGGATGTAGATCCTCTGAGACCAGGATGTGGATCCTCTGAGTCCAGGATGTGGATCCTCTGAGTCCAGGATGTGGATCCTCTGAGTCCAAGATGTGAATCCTCTGAGTCTAGGATGTGAACTCAGACCATAACCTGGGTCCTGGGGTGGTACTAGTGGTTCAGTCACCTGAGCTACACCTGACTGTCAGGATGAAGTCTGGCAGACTTCACAGTTTCTGTGGAACCAAATCACTAGCTGGATCAGAACCAGTGGTTCTACTGGTACCAAACACTAGTTTTGGTGGGACCAGACCCATCCTTTCCAGGCTCCTGGTTGTGGCATGAGTTCTGGTTCAGGTAAAACTGGAACAGAGTCCGACTGCAGTCCCAGCCCTGAGTTTTGTTTGAAGTGTGTCTCCATGGAAACACAGTGAGGTCAGACAGGTGAGGACTTGTACAGGTGAATTACCGCGGTGCAGCCAGGACCTCTGGGAGATTAAAGGAGTCCTTTAATCTTTTCCTTCTTTCCTTTATTTCTTCTTGCTTTATGTTTTATTTACTCTTCTTGTTTGTTTGTTTACTTGTTGTTGTTCTGACTGATCCGCCTCACCCCCTGACTGACTAAATCGTTAATGACGACAAGAGTGAATAAAGTTCTGATTGAAGTTTCGACACTGATCCATTTGATTTATGAATCCACACTGCATGAGCCAGAACCTGAACCCAGGTCTCTGAAGAAGACGTGAGTTTTTTCTGATCCTTTAAAGACTTTTATCCTCTCAGAGTGTCTCATTAAAACCACACCCAGTCTCCAGAAACCACAGACCAGAGGAGACCTCCAGAAACCATAGACCAGAGGAGACCTCCAGAAACCATAGACCAGAGGAGACCTCCAGAAACCACAGACCAGAGGAGACCTCCAGAAACCATAGACCAGAGGAGACCTCCAGAAACCATAGACCAGAGGAGAACTCCAGCAATCACAGACCAGAGGAGATCTCTAGAAACCACAAAC